TACGCTGCGGGAGCAGCCGCCTCCGCCTCGCGCCGCTGCACCATGTCTGGCCAGCGGGAGCGTTGCGAGCGCGAGTGGCACGAGCTAGAGGGAGAATTTCAGGAACTGCAGGTAAGGCCGGGCCACCTGGTCCCTCGACTCGGCTACCTGAGCTGCAGTACCTTCCCTTTCCTGCTCCCCCAGCCCGGGCGGTGGGCACCATCAGGGCCCAGGGGTGTCCCTGGCCAGGCCCTGGAAGCTGGTGGTCCGCGTGGACCAGCCCCCTCCATCTCCCAGCACTTCAGTTCTTCACCCACTTGGGGCGCCCGCTCGAAGCCCCCATTCCCCCCGCCCTCGCACCGGCTCTTGGCACTGAGCACCTCCTTCGCTGCAGAAAGTTGGTCTGTGGCCTCTGAGGGGAAGTTCCAGGCGTGTCCATGTCGGGGAGGCCTGCGGGGACAGGTCTGTGCTGGGACTCGGAGGGAACAGCCCTGCCCCCACCTCCTCAGGGGTCTCCCCTCACCCCACCCTTCGACTTGTGGCAGCTCAACTGCCCCTCTGTCCTTGGGAGCAGCCCTCCGCTGCGGCTCTGTTGGGAAGATGTGCTTGGGAGACATTCACCTTGAACCCATCGGCTCTGCTTCGGGACTGGGGTTCCCCGTTCTCCGCCTTCGGGGCGCTGCTGCAGGCTGACTTTGGCGTGGCGGATGGCATCTGTCAGTTCTGACAGCTGGGTTGCCTCCCTCGGGAGGGTGAGGGCTGCTTCCTGCCCTCACCCTTCTGGCCCGGAACCTGAGGACGGGTGGGCTGGGGGCGGAGGCAAGGGAGGCCCCTTGAGAGCATGGCTTTGTGGCCCGGAGGTCCGGGCAGGGGGTTTGTTCCTGAGTTCTCAGAGGCCTCAGCTACCTACCCCGGTGACTAAAGACGCCCCGAGAAACCTTGGGGTTGGCCAAGGGGACTCCTGGACCATTTCTGGAGATGGGGCTGCCCCGGCTGCAGCTACCCTCTTGTGTTTGTTTTCTCGGAGTTAGGCTCTGCTTGCCTGAAGTCCGATCACGCATCTCCCCAACTCCTCCTTGTCCTCAGCCTGAGCAATGACATTTGCCCCGAGCGCGTAGCTTTTGTCTGCAGTTGGCTGGCCTCTTACAGTGTCCAGAGGAGGGGAGAAGGGATTGCCAAGGGTATTTGTAAGGAGTCCTCCTAGACCTGAGACAGCAGGTCCGGATGAATAGAGAGAGGGGTGCTGGAGAGACGGGACAGTTTGAGGCATGAGCAGAGGATAAGGTACCCAGAGCCAAAGCGGTATCCCTTTCTGGGCTTGTCCGGCGTGTGTGGGTTGGTGCCCTCTCCTTCAGGTCTGGAGCTTGGGTCCCACCCAGCTCCCTGGGGACCCTGGTGGCTCCACTGCCATTGAGGAAACCCAGCCGCCGCTTCATGCTGTGTCCTACTGGGCTCTCATGTCACGTCCACGGAGGGGGTGTTGGGGTCAGGAGTGGGAGAAGAGGTTTGCGGTGTGGAGCTTTTGTTGTTCATCATCCCTTCCCCTTGTCCTGCCTTAGCCTAGGCCCTAGGTCCTAGGACAGTGATGGCGAACCTATGACACGGGTGTCAGAGGTGACACGCAAACTCATTTTTTTTGGTTGATTTTTCTTTGTTAAGTGGCATTTAAATATATAAAATAAATATCAAAAATATAAGTCTTTGTTTTACTATGGTTGCAAATATCAAATTTCTCTATGTGACACGGCGCCAGAGTTAAGTTAGGGTTTTTCAAAATGCTGACACGCCGAGCTCCAAAGGTTCGCCGTCACTATCCTAGAGAAGGAGGAGTCCTGGCACTTCAGAGCTATGCGATTAATGCAATTAACAGCAATTAGACAGCAGGTCTTGGCAGGCAGAGGTTGCAAAGAGACAGTTTGATTTGTTGTTGTGTTCTTATTTGGTGTCTCCGGGGCTCAGATGGGTGAGGGACAGGAGGGATGGGGCATTAATTCTGGATTTCATCCCCGGGTGCCTAGCAGGGCTTGTAGAAGGGCTCCCCTGGTGGGAACTGTGACGCCCCTGCTTAGTTCTTCAGCAGTAGGGCATGGAGTGGACTTGGGGAAGAGGGAGCATCAATTCCCTACCTGACAGGAGGGCATAACCTTTGCCCTTGCCCCAGCCCAAATGCACACTTAGGCATTTGGGTGACAGGTTGTGCGGCCGCTTTCACCCCTGCTGGCCTCAGGCTCTGGTGGCAGCTTCTAGATCAGAGGCCGGTGATGGATGGAAGGCCGCAGAGTCCCCTGGGGGTGGCGGTGGGGTGAAGGTGAAAAACACTGTGTCTTCAGTTCATAGATGAGGAGACTGAAGCTTGGGCCATGCTAATGTAACCGGGGTCACACAGCTATTTAGTGACAAAGTTGGGGCTAGAGCTTAGTTCTGTAAATGTTTACTTCAGATGGATGTCCTTGTGTTGGGAGGCCCCTGTCTGTCATATTCAATGTGAGAGCTCTGAACTCCTGAGTTGAAAGTCTCTGGAAATACATATATAATAAGTAGGGAGCCCTGACCGGTTTGGCTCAGTGGATAGAGCATCGGCCTGCGGACTCAAGGGTCCCAGGTTCGATTCCGGTCGGGGGCATGTACCTTGGTTGCGGACACATCCCCAGTGGGGAGTGTGCGGGAGGCGACTGGTCGATGTTTCTCTCTCATCGATGTTTCTAACTCTATCCCTCTCCCTTCCTCTCTGTAAAAAAATCAATAATATATATATATATATTTTTTAAAAAATAAGTAGGGTGTACCTTGTCATTGTTTATTGGACAGACTTTCAGATGAGGCATTTATTGGGGAACAAGGGGGTTACAGTAGGGAGGCAAGTGGACAGATGGGAACTAGAAAGTTTCACAATAGGAAGGTTTTTCTTTCTTTTTTTTTTTTTCCACCAGAAAATCTCAGTCTATCTTAATTTTCCTAATCTACCTCGGAATCTGGGATTCATGGATTTCATGCTTGTATCTCTCTGATTTCCTTTCTTGGGGCACTGTGGTATATATCACTGGGTTTTACCTCTCCTTCCCTGTTACACTTGAAGGGAGGAAAGAGGAAACCTAACTCAGACCCTAGAGGATTTGAAAGGTCTTTAGAATTCCTCCCTCCCCATCAAAAGTCATAATCTCTGGGAATTTCCAGAGGAAAAGATCTGATTTCTTTTGATTGTGGGGCCTCACTGGACTCCGGGGGAAGGTCAGGTCGCTATGGTTATTTCGTTTTTAGCTGTTTGGATTTCAGCCTTGATGGTAAATTGAGCGTGGCCCTGTGGCCGGTGGTGTGACCACAGAAGGTCACTCACAGACACGGTGGCAGGTGGTTTAATGAGCCTTTCCCGACTTGCCTTACATCACTGGAAACCTGACCTTGCCCTTGCCACCAAGGAAGGAGATAGCTAGAGTGGGCTTTCCCTAAACTTGACCTCATAATAGGTAGACCATTGTAAAGATTTTGGCTTTTGCCCTAGCCAGTTTGTCTCAGTGGACAGAGCGTCGGCCTGCGGACTGTAGGGTCCCAGGTTTGATTCCAGTCAAGGGCACATGCCTGGGTTGCTATCTCGATCCCTGGTGGGGGGTGTGCAGGAGGCAGCTGATCAATGATTCTCTCTCATCATTGATGTTTCTATCTCTATCTCCCTCTCCCTTCCTCTCTGAAATCAATACAAATATTTTTTAAAAGATACTTTTGCTCTTACTACCAATGAAATGGGCATCCCTCTAGCTGCTGTGTATGGAATAGACATCAGGGTGGGGCAGGCTGCAAGCAGGAAGATAGTATTAAAACCCTAAGAAATAGATCCCATTATCACCAATTTACAGAGGTCAGTAAGTTATACAAAGTTTTATGGCTTGTAAGTGCTGGAGCCAGGATTCAAATCCAAATCGTTGAACACCAGAGTCTGCGTTCTGTGGGTCAGATATTTTCTTGGTTCCTAACATAGTGGACTCTGAACCCTTCTTGAGATGCTTGGCTGTAGAAGAAAACTTTTGAACTTGTGAGGTCTCATTTCATTTGTGTGGTTCTTTAAAAGAATAGCATTTAGTCAGAACTTTTTTTAAAATATATTTTTATTGATTTTTGACAGAGAGGAAGGTGGAGGGACAGAGAGCTAGAAACACCGATGAGAGAGAAGCATCGACCAACTGTCTCCCGCACACCCTCACTGGGGATGTGCCCGCAACCAAGGTACATGCCCTTGACCGGAATCGAACCTGGGACCGCTGAGTCCGCAGGCCGATGCTCTATCCACGGAGCCAAACCGGTTTTGGCAAGTCAGAACTTTTAGTTGCAAGTGACAGAAACCCAATTCTGCTGGTTTAAGCCAAAAAAGGGGGTTTATTGGTGATGTATTGGAAAGTCCAGTGACAAACGGCTTCAGGTAAGGCTGGATCCAGGGGCTCCAATGATGTCTCTGTGGGTGTGTCTCTCTGTCTCCTCTTTGTCACCTTTATTCTTAGGCGATTTGGGTCTCCCTTGTTATAGTAAAGATGACCACTGGCGGCTCCAGGCTGACATCTACCATCTACTTAGCAAACTGGAAAAAAAAACAACAGTGCATCTTATTCCCAGTAATTCCAGTAAGAGTCCCAGGGCTGATTCTCACTGGCTGGACTTGAGTCATGTGATTATCCCTTACCAGTCACTGGGGCACTGATTGGCAGTGCCTTGGTTACATGTCTACCCCTGGAGCTCACACTGGAATCAGTGCTACTTTAAACCACATGAAATAAGAATAGGGGAGGGGTGGTTTCATGAAGGAAAATAAAAATGCTGGTAGTGAAAACAAACAGACAAGGGTTGCTAGATAGGCATCGTTGGGGGCTAATAGAAACAGCCTGTCCTTGTGATTCCCAAACCGTGTCAAGGCTTCCCCATGAAACTGCAGAAAAGCCACAGGGGTTCTATGGTCTGATTGAATTTTCAAGGGAAACACAATGACATGTGTCCCACACCACTGACGCTGCTAGCTTGGGGCAGTTCACAGTTGTACATTAGGTCATGTTACATTCTTTTCGATGGTGTCATATCTTTGTAAAGTTGGATTTTCTGTGGTCTCTGATTAAAATCAAGTGCTCGGTGAGAATCAGCATGGAACAGGA